AGAAGAAGGAAAAAAGCAACACAAACCAGGCAAGATAAGGGCTGGAGGATGTCCACAGATAACACACACTGGGAAGGAAGCCAAACTCTGAGAGGAACTATAAACTAGAGATATTTCCATGCTTTGTTTCCAGCGTTTGCCAGTACGCAGGTCCAAACTCTTATTCAGTTGTCACAGCTGCAGCCCATGAAGAGGATCAAGTCCCTCTCCTCCTGAGTAGACCACATCTCTCCCTTATCCTCTCCTCCCTGCGTGCCCTAGGATGAAGAGGGGATGGGCCTGGGTCTTCCTCTGACGGCCCAGCTGGCCTCTGCCCTTCCCCAGCCTCCTCCACAACCTCCGGAGCCACACTTCCACTCCCTGTCGGCGGTTCCTCCTCTTCCTCAGAGTCAGTCTCCACCGGGGGCATGACAGTCACACTAAGGAATGCAGAACCTGTTCTGACCTAGGATTCCCAAAACCACGAAGCCAATTCCACATCCCGAAAAAAAACCCTTCCAAACACCATGCTGTAGCAGAAATTACTTGGCAAGAAGTCAGGAACAGATCTTCACTCTAATGAATTGAACTAATTGTCTCCTGCAAACACCACTCCCCTTTCGTTCCTCTTTATTCCCTATGGGAGGGGCCATTCACCATCCACCGTCCACCTGTGCCCTTACTCTTGAGTTGATCCTTGTTCCTTAACTGTTCTCTTCTCCCGGCGGCTCTGTGCATGCGCAAACTGGGAACAGGCTCCAGCTGTTCTTCTGCCCCACTGATCTCCCACTCCGAAGGCAGCTGATAACTGTCGGACAGCCCTGGCCCCATCTCTGCCTCCGATGCAGAGCCCTTGTCAGAGCCTTCCCCAGACTCCAGAACTGGCCTGTGTTCCTCCCCAACCTCCTCACTGTCTGAGTCTGCCGCCAGCTCCGCTGATCGCTGGCAGCCACAACCGAACCATCCAGCCCATGAAGACAGGGATCGTGTTACCCAAACAAATTGTTAGCATCTAATTGGACACTCACAGATAACCAGGGAGGCAGGTAAGAACAAAGGAAATGCGAAAATCTCAGATCTGGCTTTGCTGCTTCTGTAACCATTTGGCTTTAGTAAAGTGTACTTTCGTGAGCGATGGATTTGTGGTGCTAAATGTCTATGGAGATGCTCAGTCCTCCAGGTCGTGGTTGTCCCAAAGGTGCTTTTTTTTTCAAGAGGCAACCGGTCTTTCTGTTTTTTTTCTTTTTTCTTTTTCTTTGAAGACGTTTCGCTTTTCATTCTTCAGCTCTGACTGGAGGGTAGGGAATGGAAAGATTTATATTCTTTGCAGACAGCTGGTTATTTGCATTCTTTCAGAGAGCTGTTGAGGCCACTTGGAGGTCTATCTGTGTGTCAGCTGAGTAGTGCAAATGGGTGCGAAGCCTTCTTGGAACTGCTGAAAGGACTGTGGTTGTGGGGATGTGCTTTATGAGGACATTTTCTGCCCTGTGTCCCATCACTGGAGGCTTTCAAGCAGAGATTAGACTGCCATTTGTCAGAAATGGTGTAGGGTCTCCTGCTCGGCAGGGGGTTGGACTAGAGGACCTACAAGGTCCCTTCCAACTCTATCTGTTATATGTTATATGAGGTCACTGTTGAACACTGTTGAAAAAGCATCTTTGGGTCAAGGGATTTGAGAGTTTGTCTTTTTTTAACTGACCAAGTTGGGATGGTTGACACCAAGACTGAAAAAGGCCCTGCCACTGGGCACTATGGAGCCAAATCCAATGGCAAAACCAGGGTGATGCCAACCATTTATTTATTTATTTATTTGGGGTATGGAGAAGGAGGAGAGAAGGAATGCAAAAAACAGCTCCATTTTTGAAGGGGAGGGAAGGCAAACAGTTACTGGCACTCCTCAACTTTATAACCATTCTTTTAACAATCATTTAAAGTTACAATGGCACTGAAAAGAGTGGCTTACAACCAGTCCTCACACTTGCAACCGTTGCAAGTGTGGTCACGTGATCAAAATTTGGCTGCTTGGCAACCAGCATGAATTTATGGTGGCGGCACCGTCCCAGGGTCATGTGATCAACGTTTGTGACTTTCTCAGCCAGCTTCCCATGAGTGGCGTAGTGGTTAGAATGCGGTACTGCAGGCTAACTCACTGCTCACTGCCAGCAGTTCAATCCTGACTGGTTCAAGGTTGACTCAGCCTTCCATCCTTCCGAAGTCAGGTAAAATGAGGACCCAGATTGTTGGGGGCAAGATGGCTGACTCTGTAAACCGCTTAGAGGGAGCTATAAAGCACCTTGAAGCAGTATATAAGTGCTATTGCTATTGTTATTCCCACAAGCAAAGTCACTGTGGGAAAACGGATTCATTTAATAAGTATGTGATTTCACTTAACAATTGCAGGGATTAGCTTAACAACTGGGGCTTTTTTAAAAAAGGCCATAAAATCGGGTGGACTCTAGGGGTGTCTCGACTTATGACAGAAATGCCAGGCTCTGTTATGGCTGTAAGTCAGTGGTGGGATTCAAACATTTTTACTACTGGTTCTGTGAGTGTGGCTTGGTGGGTGTGGCTGGTGGGCGTGGCAGGGAAGGATACTGCAAAATCCCCATTTCCTTCCCACCCCACTAACCTGCTTTCCAGCTCCGTTCTCCTATGCAGGGCAACTAAAGAAGACCCGGCCAATCAGCGGGAGACAGAGAATAGATGACGTGGGGCCAGTCAGAGGTGGGATTTGCCCAGGGGTGGGATTTGAATTTTTAAACAACTGGTTCTGTGGGCGTGGCTGACTGGGTGGGCATGGCTTGGTGGTCATGTTATTGGCTGGGCATGGCCAACTCAACATCACTCACATTGAGGCATGCATATCCTCGCCTGGCCTCTCATGACTGGGGATGTTGCTACAGTCGTAAGTGTGAAAAACGGTCATGAGTCACTTTTGTCAGTGCCATTGTAACTTTGAATGGTCACTCCACACAAGCAAAGTACCAGCAAAGGAGGGGGAAAAAAGCTCCAGAGACGTTCCAGAGACAGGAAGTCTAGTCCTGCCAAGAATGTAATAAGAGTTAACGGAGAGGCAGTTTCTGTAAGCGACACCAGAATGTTTCCTTCCTGCCTTCCTTACAGGATTAGGCCAGTAATTTCTTCTAACAGCCAGTTCTCCAAACTGCTTAGAATGTTAACAACCGGTTCTAGCGAATAGATGTGAACTGGTAGAATCCCACCCCTGTATTTGCTGGTTCTCCAAATAACTCAAAATTCCTGCTACCCGTTCTCTAGAACTGGTCAGAACCTGCTGAATAACCCACCTCTGCTGTAAGTCCAGGACTGCTTGCACTCTTTCCAGAAAACCGCCCCGTATTCTTCAGAGCTCCATCTCTGTTTCCCCTTGATGTTTTCACAGTTGACCTGCTGTGATACCTTCAAAAACATTTTTGCCTTCCCAAAGGCTAAGAAAAAAGAATTATTGGCAGGAAGGAGGCAAACAGGGTGGGTGCTTGCCAGCCGGTAACTCCAACTGGTTTGATATTCTTTTTTAACTCTTTTCTGCTCCGTAATTACATTGCATGGCCTGATATTTCCATGGTATATTAACCCGAGTCAGGTGATTTCTCGTCTCTCTCCCCCACAAACCCTCCGCAACGCCTCTCCATTTCCCCATAAGAGGGCCCTCCCTTTTTTAGACCCTGACATTATTAATAGTCCTATTCATTAAGTATTACTCTTGTAGAATGAGTAGCATAATATTGGCCTGGAGATAGGAAAAGGCAGAAGGAATAAGTCAAATTAATTTTCCGCAGCAAACGCCCCGATTCTGTAAATGACATTCTGTACTGTTAGCATTTTAAATGTGACACAGAAATGGCAGGAGATACAATTTGGGAGCCAAATACTCTGAGAACTGGCTAATAGGCTGCATAAAAATTCAATAACATCACTTAGAAGGAGGGAAAGGATTGGGGAAGTATTGGGTGGGGGGTTGCAATATATATATATGTGTGTATATATATGTATATATATGTATGTATGTATGTATATATATATATGTATGTATGTATATATATATATTTTATATATATTTTAACCCTCTCTATCACTTGCCATAAGATTCTGTTCCAAGTGATGGCTCTGCCAGTAGGATTGGAAAGTTTTTTCAAAAACAGCTTGGATGTCTGAATGAGGATGGGGGGGAAAGTCTCAAATTTGGTGACAGAAAAATATTGTTTCAACTGGTGAAACATCCTAGGTCAAACTAAGTCCCAAAATGCTAGAGAATTCCTGGATTAATCCAGGAATTCATCAGCCATCAACAGGCACATTGAGTTAGACAATATCTACATACTCGGATTAATCAGCCATCAACAGGCACATTGAGGTAAACAACATCTACCTGCCATGTTAAGAATCTGTCCACCAATTAGTTGGGTTGGCAATATATAAACCAACAATGTATGTTTGTAGCTTTAAGACAAAATCACTGTATTGATTTATACTATATTCCGATTGGTTGATTATATTGCAAATTATCATAGCTTGTCTCTCTCTCATATTCTGTATCTCTGACATTCTGTATCTCTGACTTTCTGTTGTTATCTAAGGTTCTCTGTTGTATTTATGCTGTGGTTATATTTTGATATTTTTGTTTACTGTAAATGACAAAGACAACAGGTAAGAAGACTTTGTAATTGGATATTCTTTGGACTGTTAAAATGTATATGACTTCGATTCTTTATTGGACTGTGCTATTTCTTAAAGTAAACTTTAACTCAATTTAGTGTATCTGTATGTGGCTGAATAATTATTCATAACTACTCTCATAAATGTTTCCATGTGCATATCCTTGTTACTCAAGGGTTATTCTGTACATATCATAACATACTGTTCAAAAAAGATAATCGAAAAGATCAAAAGGAAACAAAAAGACCAAAATTCCTCCTCACCAGTAATCGACACCCAGATGAACAGAGATTAACACCAAGATTAACTCAAGACCAGCAATACCCCAATCAAGGAACTAGCAACACAGCCAAACAAGCTACAAATATACAACAGCTTAATCAAGGAACCACCAAGAACACACCTGCCAACATTGACAGGGGAAGCCATGAGTATATAAAAGCAAACACTACTCCTTCGAGCATTGATGATGTTACCTAGTTTGGTAATGAAATGTCTGCAAGAAAACCACCCAGTTCAGAGCAGCCAGGACCCAGGATTCTCTGGGAATAGGAAACAGGAGCATTTCTGGACCTCCAGAACTTTTGGGAGGCCTGTTTTTTGCCCTCCCCGAGACTCCACATGCACCCTGCATTTACCTGCATCCAAAACAGGTTGCGTGGGGAGTCCTAGGAGGGGAGGGTTGGGCAGGGCCATCCAGGAGTAGGATTTGGGGGTTCTCCAAACTGCACAGAATCTTAGGTAGGGTCTCTCCTGAGCAACCCCCGGCAGCCCACCCCTGTCTAACAGTAAACAGTGTCATCAAGGAATGACCAATCTAGACAATTAGTATATAGTAGTCTAATCTGGGAACTTCCAAGAACATGGCCATCAACACGGCAAGACACTGGTATATAAACAGAGAGCAAATTCCACTGCCTTCTAGCACTGATGATGTTACCTACTTGGGTAATGAAATGTCTACAAGAAAACAACCAAGTTCAGACAGCACCAAGGATCCCACAGTAAACTATTCCCCGATCAAGGAACGACTGACTCAGACAAACAATCAGTAACAACAGCCTAATCAAGGAACCACCAAAAACCACCAACATTGACAGGGCAAGACATTGGTATATAAACAGAGCAGAAACCCCACTCCCTTGTAGCACTGATGATATCACCTAGTTGGGTAATAAAACGTCTGCCAGAAAACAACCTCAGAGAACACCAAAAAACCCACATTTGAACATTCAGAAAATCAGTCCCAATTTTCTCGTGGACATTTCATTGCTCAACTAAGTAACTCATCAATGAGGTTGCAGGGTTTGTCCTCTGTTTATATAGAAGTCACTTGCTCTGTTAGTGCTGGTCAAAGTGCTCTTTAGTGGTTCCTTGATTAGCTGTTGTTTCCTGTTAGATTGCCTGTGTTAATAGTTCCTTGATTAAGTTATTGTTTATTTCTTGATTGTCAGTCTACTGTTAATCTTGGTGTTAATCTCTGCTCATCTGGGTGTTGGTGGTGAGGAAGCGTTTTGGTCTTTTTTGTTTCCTTTTTGACATTTTGACTGTCTCTTTTGAACAGTATGTAAACATTGTTTATCTCTATGTGCCTGTTGATGGCTGAACCCTTCTAGCACTGATCATGTTATCTTGTTGGGTAATGAAATATCTGCAAGAAAACAGCTAAGCCCAGAGGACACCAAGTATTCCATATCTACAAGTATGTATGTATGTACCGTGTTTCTCCAACAATACGCCCCCGCCCCCCCAAAAGGAAGACCCAGCATGTTTTCTAGGTATAAAATGAAATTAAGCCCCTCCCCCCAAATTTAGGCCTACTTTAAAACATGCGAAATGGGGGGGAGGTGTGGGGGGGAACTTGCCATTAGGAGTGCCCCGTGGGCAGCTACGCCTCACCATCAGTATATAAAAATGAGAGCAAACCCCACTCCCTTCTAGCACTGATAATATTGCCAAGTTGGGTAATGAAACATCTGCAAGAAAACAGCCAAGCTCAGAGAGCACCAAGGACCTCACAATTCCACCTTGAGCTACAAATGTTCCCTTCACCTTCACCTTCATCTCAGCCTTGACGTTGCCTCCTTCCCCAAGCGACTTCCATGGCCCCTTCCTAAGCCACCCTCAAACATTGCCTCTTCCAATCCACCCAACAGAGTTCATCTGCAACAAAGTTCCGTCAGAAACAAAAGCAGCGACCAGGAGAAATTATGTCCGTATCGCCCACCGAATGAAATGAGTCACAACATTTCCCAAGAATGGTGTCAACATACACCGTGGCGCCTGGACTCCCTCCCTCCCTCCCTCCCTTTTTTTTCCAATTTAGTGTTGTTTAATATGCATTTAATCAACCCGTTCAAGATTATAGAGTCTATGTAGCATGACTTTTTCCTCTGTGTCACCGAAGAAGCGTTCATAGGCCATTAGACTAAAGTAATATGTATGAGGAGCCAGCTTTCCCCAGGGTGTAGTAACTACTTCAGCTCCCCAGCCATCCCCCATTAAATCATTAAACCTCATGACTGTGCCTCCTGAACTCTACCCTGGTCTTTAAAAAGCAGAACATTAAAGGGCATCTACCACACTTCGGTGCTCAGGCATCGCCTTTTATGTATTCAAGGCATTACAGCTTTTGTCAGTCTATACATCATCGGCTTCGAAAGACGGCTTGCACACGTAGGGAAGGCTTGTAAGTAACCCATGTCCCTTTCCTAAGGGAACGGCTGAAACGGGGCGGCTTTGGGGAATGGGAGGGGTGAGTTGCCAACATGCTAGAAGTTTTATGGCGGGGAAGCCCGACATCTCCTGTTTTCATGGGGTCGGTGGCGGGACAGAGAGTGGGTTGAACATCAGGAGGTCAATTTCGTGACAGGAGAGTGTTGGGAGAAAAATCTGGTCCAGTTCCAAGATGGGCGAAAGACAATGGAAATAAAACGGAGCGTGACTGGCTACAAGGAAAGGAGGTTTATTGATGAGCAGAACCAACAGCCACAGCATGCGGTTCTGGGACAGCTGGCCAGTTGGTTGGATGAATGGATGGATCTTTATAGGTTTCTGTGACTTTGGAGTTTGAACTGTTCTGGGGATTGTGCTGTGATGACCCGGGACAAGGCACGAAGGTCACACAGCCAGGTGACAGTTCAAACTCCCCTTTAATGCTCCAAATGTCCCCTCAAACGCTCCCACGTTCTTGGGAAGTCCCAGAGCAAAGCAGGTGAGTGTGCTTGCTCACGCACACATGCACACACACACACACACACACACGCACTGGGCTGTACCCAGTCCAGCAAAACAAAGGAATAGGGAAATGAGTCCACGAAACAAGGAACAAACAAGGAGCCCACAAAATCAGAAAGACGGTACTGAGTCCACAAGTAAGGAAGAAGCAAACAGTCCTGCAACCTCCAAATGTCTGCACTGGCACACCAAACTCTACCAATTCGGTGTTTATTCCCGGCAAATGCCCCTGCCCACAGCGTCTCCTTAAATCTCAGTCCTCAGGTGTGCCTTGTGAAGAGGGACGGGGTGCTGTCTCCCGAATTGTGCAGGTCAACCTGCACTGTTCCTGCCTTCTCTCCAGTCTCCCTGCTTGGAGATCAGGAGGGAGCAGTCCTTGCTCATCGCCTGAGCTCCGTCGCTCCTCATGTCCACTGCTTGCCCTCTCTTGGTCATCCTGCCCCACATCCTCCCCGCTAACAAACTGTCCCAATCCTGAGGGGCCCTGGGCTGCTCCTCCAAACATTCCTCCAAAGCCTATGAAGTTGTAACCCTTTAAGTTTCGGCTTGTCCTCCTCCACAGATTCAGTCTCCAATGTGGGCATGACATGTGCAATGAAGGAGCTTGTACCTTTTGCTATTTCAATGGTGGTGGGTTAATCCTATTATGTCCTAAAAGGTTAAGTCCTGTCCTTTTTAATCCCATCCCCTGGAGTGGAAGATGTTTTGTTTGTGAATAGATCGGCCCAAACTTTCTTAATGGGCACAAAATATTCATCTCTAAAGATTTCAGCCATTTGCTGTGGGCTGTTCTACTATGCAGGAAAGTGGGGCTGCTTTCTGCCTTTAAAAGCATGTTTCTCCATTTCTCCTTTGAGGAAATATAATATTCTGCCTCTTTTGGTATTCCCCAAAATATTTCATTCTGTGTGTGTTTGGGTGCACCAGAGGTGGTATTCAGCAGGTTGTGACCAGTTCTGGAGAACCGGTAGCGGAAATTTTGAGCAGTTCAGACAACCGGCAAATCCCACCTCTGACTGGCCCTGCCAACCCCATCTCTTCTCTGCCTCCCATTGAGTCCCAGCTGATCGGCTGGGTCTTCTTTGGTTGCCCTGCAAAGGAGAAGGGAGCTGGAAAGCAGGTTAGTGGGGAGGGAAGGGAGATTTTGCAGTATCTTTCCCCTGCTATGCCCACCAAGCCATGCCCACCAAGCCACACCTTTAGAACCAGTAGTAAAGAATTTTGAATACCACCAACGGGGTGCATAATTACTTCTTACAAGAGGGTGTGAAATTGGGAGTTTCCCCTCCCTTTTAAGTAGGGACATTACATCAACATTGGGGGGAAAAGGGAGGGGTGTAATATAGAATCAGATTTCAATCTACATCTTAATCCAGCAGCCCAAATTCAGTATAGTTGCTTTAGAATTCACAAGTAGGAACTTTCTCGTTCAGTCACTTTGATATTGCTGTAAAAATCCTAAGGAAGAAAACTAGAGAAAATAATCATTCAGCAAGCTTGCAAACAACTCGGAAACGAACAAAGTAATCAGTAGAAACCAGCATGGGTTGGTTAAAAACTGGTCATGCGAGAGGCACCTTATTACTTGTTTTTTCCAAAAAAAGGACTAGATTAGTAAACCAAGAAATGCTGTTTCCAGGTAAGCTAATTCTACTTTATTGGAAAACTACAACGACAGAATCTTGCAAGTCCGGAAGTATAATTCTCTTGCCATCTCCTTTGCAGGTCTAAAATTAGAGAGGGCCCCTTTTGACCCGCTTTCTCCATGCAATATACAGTAATGAGCTACACCCAGAGGTGAGCTGTGGCCGGTTCACACTGGTTCTGGAGAACCAGTAGTTAAGACTGTGTGCAGTTTGGCCAACTGGCAAATCCCACCACTGTCTGGCTCCGCTCCCACTCATTTTTGGCCTATTTTCTGGGCCATTTTCCAAGCCATTTTGGGGCTGTTTTTCAGGCCATTTGGGGCCATTTTGTTTTGGTCCAAAAGGAGCCCCAAAACAGCCTGAAAATGGCCCCAAATGGCCTGAAAACAGTAAAAATAGGGGGGGGGACCAAAACAGGACAAAAAATCGACAGGTATCACAGGTATAAGGCCTCCTGCTTGAGTAGGGCAGAGGTGGTATTCAGCGGGTTCTGACTAGTTCTGGAGAACCAATAGCGGTAATTTTGAGTAGTCCAGAGAACTGGCAAATACCAGCTCTGACTGGCCCTGCCCCCATCTATTCTCTGCCTCCCAAGTCCCAGCTGATTGGCTGGGTCTTCTTTGGATGCCCTGCACAGGAGAACGGAGCTGGAAAGCAGGTTAGTGGGGTGGGGAGGGAATGGGGATTTTATTTATTTGTCAATCGCTTACAAGATAATAGGTGTAAGTACAAACATGAGTAAGAAGACAGGAAATCGGTATGAATAAATAAGGGACAATAGGACAGGGACAGTAGACACGATTGTACACTTATGCATGCCCCTTACAGACCTCTTACTTATTAAGGGGAGGTCAATAGTGGATAGTTTGAGGTTAAAGGAGTGGGGGGTTAGAGGATGTAATAATAGAGTCAGGTAGTGCATCCCAGGCATTGACCACTCTGTTGCTGAGGTCGTACTTTCTGCAATCAAGTTTGGAGCGGTTTACATTGAGTTTGGATCTGTGGTATGGTCTTGTATTGTTGCGGTTGAAGCTGAAGTAGTCGTTGACTGGTAGGACATTTTGCAGAGTTGGGGAAGGAATGGAGATTTTGCAGTATCCTTCCCCTGCCATGCCCACCAAGCCACGCCACACCCACCAAGCCAAGCCCACAGAACCGGTAGTAAAAAAAAAAAATTTGAATCCCACCACTAGAGCAGTGGGTTAGACTAGATGACCTCCAAGGTTCCTCCCCATTCTGTTATTCTGTTAGGTCTTTTATCTCTTCCCTAGCATCTCAGGAGGGTCACGTAAGATAAGCACGCTACCCCCCCCCCCCCCCCCCCCCCGGTTCCTTGCATCGATGTTACATTCTGATTGTAGGTCCTCTAGGTCAAATCTTGCTGGCTTACTTATCCCCTTTAATTTTCCCCAGTCTAACCTGTCTATTTGACACCAATAATTCATCGTCTGTTCCACCATTTGCACCTGGAAGTGTTCCTGGATGACTTGATTGCGCTTCTCCGTCTTTGGCTTCCTATTATGTCGTCAGTTTGATTACAATGTTGAGAATCCGGCGATGTCCAAGTGTGTGGAGTTTGCATTTATATTGCTTGAAAGAGGCACCAGCCAGCCAAGAATTCCCTTTGCAAAAAATATATATATAATAATAATAATAATAATTCTGCTAACCTATCTCTGGCCTGATCATGTTTATTCAGTCCAAATCCAACTGGGTTTCCTTCCATCTCCCCGACTTTTGAATTAACACAACTTTATGTCCTTATTATAGTTTGTGTAGCTGCCGATTTTGCTCTACCGTCCTCCTGTATATCTTTGTATTTGTGGCATGGCTGCATCGCCATATAGCGTTTGTCTTCACGGGAACAAGTACAGAGTCCAATTTACACTGTCTTTTCTGAGTGTAACACCTACTTCATTCCTCCATATGGTCTTTTCTCAACACAGATACACACACACACACGTACACTGAGGGTAACCCACCACCAACATTTCCGAAACATTTCCTTAACTTAAAGCAGAGAAACAAATTGGACAAAAATATAGCGGGAGCAGGGACAACTTTTGACTTCCCGCCTCATTTGAATTTCTTTTTGGGAATCTTGTAGGGAATATCGGAAAACCCCTTTCCTTTCCTCCCTCCCTCCCTCCCTTTATCCCTTCCTCCTTTCCTTCCCTGGTCATTCCTCTCTTCCTCCCTCCATCTCTTTCTTTCTTCCTCCCTTCCTCCCTTGCTCTTTCCTCCTTTCTTTCTTTCTTTTTCTTTCTTTCTTTATTTTCTCCTCCTTCCTCCCTTCCTTCCCTGGTCTTTCCTCCCTCCCCCCTCCTTTTCTCCCTCCCTCCTTTCTTTCTTTCTTTCTTTCTTTCTTTCTTTCTTTCTTTCTTTCTTTCTTTCTTTCTTTCTTTCTTTCTTTCTTTCTTTTTTTCTTTCTCCCACCCTTCTTCCTTCCCTCCTTCCCTTTCTTCCTCCCTTCCTTCTCTGGTCTTTGCTTTCTCTTTATTTATTTATTTTTTCCTCCTTCCTCCCTTCCTTCCCTGGTCTTTCCTCCCTCCCTCT